AAAAATAAACTGAAGGGAGTGGTTGCATATTGCCTTTGTGTTGACCCAAATTGTCACCAAGTAGACTGGTGCATGGAAGCTGCAGTGTTACAATATTTTCTAATAATTTCTGTATATTATTTGCTTTAAAGATAGCATTTATTTACAATATATATGTCCTTTTCTTGAGCAACAACTGTTGTTTCTAGTCTATCTCTTTCTATTTTTTGCTTACTCTAGGTATTTTGAAGCCAATATATAACACCGTATAATATTGAAATTTATAATCTTCTCTATCTCTTGTCCATTTTGTGGGAGGGAAGATTAAGTATAACTTCCACAGTGTGCTAGTCATTTATTCCCCACTTTTATCTATATATTTGTAGGGAATGTAGTCACTGAATACATGGGATGGGACTCACGTTATTCACCACATTGGCATAAGGTACCTTTTGCCCAGAAAATTACAGTTCATGCTAAGTTTGAAAAGGCTCAATGTGTTTATGTCCAGTTGCAACCATGTCACAATACTTAGGTTTGGTTTCGGCACCTTCATCTTCTCGATAATTACCATTTGCGAGAAGTCTGGCATCATCACGGTTTATTCAGTAAACACCCATTCATAACAGATAGAAATTACGTTGGTATGTATTCTTGTCACTAACCACTTCCTCGACCATTTATTTAGTCTTCTAAAATCCCTAATCGAGTAAGGTGACATACGAGATCTATAGGGAAAAGTTTTTTTTTGCATTTTAACATGGCATTAGGGCATTTTTCGTTGAAGCATAAGATTCAAGTCTCTTTGTTGGCTTTAATTCGAAACTCGTTGTTTGCATAGTTCTCTCATTTCATTTATAACTGTACAATGATCATATTCTATATCGATTATCTTAGATTATGCGTCCAAGTGATGTGTGGGAAAAACATTTTAAACAAATTACTCAATCGGTCATGTAAGGTTTGTGCTAGATTTCATGGTTGCCCTAAGCATGTTCATTTTCCATTTTTTTGCCACTTTGCTAGGGTTCCTATTGTTGCAGCTAGCAATAATCTGTGGATACTTTGTTTTGTTTGAAATGTTATAAAATAAAATTAAATAGTTATTAATTGACTGAAATTTTAAAAATCTTGGGGGTAACCTACACCACCGAACTTTAGACGTTTTCCCCTCATTTTTCTAGGATTGTAGTTCAATCGGTTAGAGCACCGCTCTCTCAAGACCTATTTGATCAAGCCAAATTTTTAAAAATGTTTTTAACCCCCCTCCCTCTTATGTTGTAAAAGAGAATTAAGAACTAAATTTTTTCTTTATCTTTATTGATATATATGATTTTTCGGAGAAAATATTTGATGTAACAATGACATCTTAGCACCATCTAATACCAAACTAACATGAAAGTAAGTGGATTCTACTTATTTATTTTTATTTTTTAAAAAAAAAAACTCCGTCAATGTAAGAAAATAATCACTAAGTGGATTCATCTTATCTATTTATAGATTTATTATTATAAAATTATGATACCACGTAATAATAATGGCGTGTCATCATTACACTTAATATTTAGTCCAGCAGTGCTATTAAGTTTTTGTTCGGTAACGAGATTACAATATAATGTTGTTTGAGTTAAATTATAGCACTGACAGCGCAATGAAAATTAATTTACATAATGAAGCGTCAATAATATAATATTAATTGTTTCGGCTTAAAAAATATATAAAATATTGACCATTTTTGGTCAAATGGCGACTTACGTGGCTTTGTAGTTTTGTATTTTTTTTTTTTGGGTCGTTTGGTTGTCGTATTAAAAATGGATGGGTTAGATAGAGTAATTCAATTTAATACAATATGGAAGGACAAAAGATAAAATTAAATAAGGTATTAAAATAATACGTAATTTTATTCACTGTTTAGCAATACACAACATAAACGTTGGATAGTAGTTATTTAATCTAATCTGTTGTTTAATTAGAAAATTATTTCATCGTATTAATGTTGAATTAACAAAAATATTCTCAATCAGTATTTATTATATTGATGATAGCTTTTTATTAGTTAGGGGATTATAATAATAAATATATAGAATAATATGTTTGAGTTGAATTATAATACTGCATCTCTTGATGGTATTAAAATATCTCTATCATACAGGTCTATCATATAAAAAATATATAATAAGTATACGATTACTATACGTTTTTTAAATTAATACAGTATCAAATTTGCTTACCAAACAAAATATTAAATCCGATTAAATAAAAAATAGTACAATTCAATATTTAATTTCCTTATAATACGTTTACCAAACAAAGCCGTTTAGTTCTTCCTGGTCGAACTTAGAATTTCATTTCAAACTTGGCTCTCAAGAAATTAAGAACATTCGAGTTGAAATTAAGTTATATGTAAAGTAAAAAATTAAAAACATTGTTAAAACACATTAATAATAATTATTATTATTATTTTTGACATTTACGTAATTTCATATGAAAAAAAAAAGAACTTATGTGACTTATGCCACCATTTTTTTTTTGAGCAGCAAAGACGGGAAAATTCGTTCAAGTAAGAAAGTTTTGGTTACAATCAAACAAGAGTAAAGTATAAACTCAAGCGGAGGACAGCTGACCTAATTCACAGCAAGTGAATTAGATAAAGCCGCTCTTGACTTGTATAAGAACCTAATATCAAGGTGTTAAGCAAAAACACTGATGTCTGTCACAAAAGTAGAAATTTCCCAGTAAGGAACCCTTCAGTTGTGCTGAGCTTTATGACTTCCTGGTTGTCGCTCTCAATTGTACATAACCGAAGCTGGGTTGCAAAAGCTAATAAGCAAGCTTCCCGTACCGCTGCAGCCTCTGCGTATTGGCTTGATACCGCTAGGATTCTCTTCCCAATTCCATCCATAAAACAGTCAGTAGAATTTCTCAGGACAACGCCAATAGCAGCACCCCTTCCTTTGAAGGCCCCATCACAGCTGATCTTAGAGCTTTGAGGACGCTGAGAAGACAAAAGAACAGACCTGGAAGTTGACAGCCCGCTTCCTTCTGGACGTATTGGAGCTGAACCAACATCACTCCACATTTGCTTTGCTCTAAGAACGATGGAAAGTGAGTTGGGTTCCTCGCTTGCAAGGTTTATGAATCGGAGAAATGCACGTAAGCAATACCTAATAATTAAATTTTAATTTCTCAACAAAAATCCTGTAAAATTTTCAAGCTGAGGACTGGCCCGATGGGCTTCATGTAATTATTAGTTATAGTTTTCGGGCCACAGTGGGCCGAAAATTATTCTCCTTGCCAAATTGCGATAAACTGATGAAACCAAGTAATTGGACTGATTGGTTTTCTAAGTAATTAGATCGTTATTTGGGCCTCATATAGTTGTTCCAGTTTCAATTTGGTGGTGCAATCTTATACCTACCTACTTAACTCTGATTAGGAGCTTTCTATTCTAGGGCCCAGTGCTGGCAATCATATGGGCCTTTTGATGTCGAATCCACTTTTACTGTATTGAGTTGAGTTGAGTTTAATTGAGTTGAACTGATTTGAGCGGAATTGAATTGAGTTGAATTTTATTGGAGGACATTATTCTAATAACTTGGCCCTATGCTCTTGGACTTCAATCGTTTTTCGAACATGTGCCTAACTACGGAGTTCGGGACTTTGATATTCCCCGTGATGGTAGGCCATTCCTTAGAGGGAGAACTACAAAAGAGTTTATGTGGACATTATCAAGATTTTGTTCTGTGATTACCAAGACATGACTTTCTCGTAACCATGTATAATCAGATTTGTGTTGTATCAAGCGAGTTTGTGCCGCCCGTATCTAGGTCGTGTATAGTTGTATGAGATTGATCTCATTCTATATATGTAACCCTTTTCTTGTTACCACATTTATTAAACATGTATAATTGTCGACCAGTTTATAATCCGAAAACATTAAACTAAATCCACGCCCGACAATAATAATTTATGTTGTGCATAATGAATTGATAGATTATATTAAGAATTATCGGCCCTAATTTTCACCAATTTTCTAATATTTGTGGGTATGCCGCCACCTCAAAGCCTAGCCATGTTAAAAAGATCTTAAAATAATTCTTGAGAGGATAAGAGATATGAGGAGTGCATGAATGCTTTGTGAGCATTTCTTGGCCTTACCTGATGATATTAATATGGCTGTATACACATTTCCTTATCAAAAATAAATTGGTGGAAGAAGAAGACAATCAAACAGAAGAGATTAGATTTTGTAATTAGATTAATTAAATGGTGTTTATATTCTACATCGTGGCATGTAATTATGGAAGAGGATCTTAGGTAGAAAATTTACTAATTATGTATAACAAACCAGGAATCCCAACTTGATCTGATTCATGCTCTCTTTGTCATCACATGCTTGACTACTAGCTTTGAATTGCCAACTTTTTTCACCAAACCATATGCTACCTAATCCTTTTGCAAGTAATCTTGGCAATTGATTATTATTTAAAATTCCAGTTATGAAAAATAAAGATAATTAAGAATATAAATAACCCACAGTTATTAACTTGAGCTGTCAAGTTTGAATATTGGAAGATACCCTAAATAATTTACTGTGTTATGACCAAGAGATCCAAAAAGAACGCGGCTAAGACAATCTTTTATTATCAAGACCCTACCATCATATAAGAAATACGTATTTGATTATGATGAATAACCTTGTCAATACAATGCTACAATTAAACTTATAAGCCACATACTTGCAATCATCTAGTAATCACGAGAATCGGGTAATCATCTAGTAATCACGAGAATCGGGTAATTATCTACTAATCACGAGAGTAATAACAAGAGTCACCAAAAAGTGTCAAATCCATGTTTTCGACTTGTCCCATAGTCAACCTAAAACTACTGGTACTGGAATACTCTTACGGGTTAGAATTCCATGCTTTAATTGAAGCGGCAAACATATCAAATGGGTTAAGACCCAACAGCTATAGCAATAGATAGAGCCACCAAAATATGAAAGAAATAAAAAAAAAATCAAAGTAGGTGAAGGGATAGATTTGTTTGTGTCGTTTTTTAAGTGAATAATACATTAAGAGGATGCCTTTTTTTTTTTTTTTAACATAGAGTAGGCTATTTGAATATAGATTTGTTCTCTTTTATTTTTTTTTATACTAAGGGTATCTCAAATGGTAATAAGAACGAGTTATAAATTCAGACGTACAAATTTCGAATACCCCTAGTTCTTGCATGGATGATCTGTCTTTGACTAAACCGGAAAAAAGATTAGTCAAAATGCGTGTAAATTGATTCAGACAACCTTCACCGTTAAAAAAATATATATTTATAATTGTTACATAGCTATCGTTTTGTTTAATATTCTCACAATTATTACTACAAACAAGAAATATTTGTCCTGATCTTTTCAACAGAATAAGACAATGTTTCCTTGTATAAAAGAAGCAAATCAAGCATATAGGGGGCCAGACCCTTCATGTGCATTGGCCCCATGAAGGAACAAAATCTCCCATGCCCAAAAAATCCTCTACAGCTGTTGAGTGTTGCTTATTAATTGCTGTGCTATGACCAATTAGCTAGAACCCAACATAGTATAGCTAGGCTATCTGTTTCATCAGATTAAAAAGTAATTAAGGTAATGGTGGACAGTATGCATTGGATGCTCTTTGGCATGAGAGATGACAGCTAACCCTAATTACTTAGAGTTCATTTATAGTAGTTTTGTGGAGATTCTAATTTGCTTTCCTGTTTAAGGTTGGCAAAATGTCGTGTTGTCGTGTTGTTGAGATATTAAGATCTCCTCCGATATTTTTTTTTTTTAAATTGTAAATTATTTATCGTGTATTGATCGCAAACCACACTTATATAAGGTGGCTCCGACTTCAATTCATGACAAGCGGCTGACATTATGGAAAAATACCGAAAGAAATCTAAATCCAAATTTTAGTCACAGTTGGGCAAAAGATTTGTTATAAGTTGTGTCACACCCACAAATACAGGAGAAGTTGAAACAAAGAAAATAATATCAAAATAGGTTGAGGTATAACCCTATACTCCCATGGATCACCCTCTATCTGTTTACACCAAGATCAACCATCCATTGATCATTTTGGTGATGGGTTCCTATTATAAAATCCAGACTAGCAAATTATAAAACTTTAGGGTTTGGAGCATGATAGGTTTTAGTAATTGCCCATTTGCTTTGCTATGCTGTCTCTGATCTAAACTAGGAATAATCCATAGTGATGATGATATATTAATTGAATGTTGATTTTTTTTTTTTGTTTTGATTTGAAGAAGATTCGAAAAGTGAGAGTGGGGCTTTTGGATGCTTCCTAAAATCACCCAAGTTAGACCATTTATCGAATGTAATGCCATTACACTTGTGATTTCTATTCATACCGATAAACAGAATGTATCAGTATCGAGAAGTTGATGCAGCACGTACATGACAGAGTAAGACCGTTGAAAGCGGCATTGAATGGACGACAGTGTCTAAAAAAATTCGAAAAACTCCATTTCAAAAAACTTTAGACGATCTGAGCAAGATTGAAATATATTTTTCAACCTGTCATTTTTAAGTTAAAAAAGGCGTTTAGATCACTTTTTATGCACTTTTTTATTTTATACTGTTGCTTGGAATATTTTCGTATTGTTACTTATTTACTTAGATTTTCTAGTCATTTAGGATCATTAGGGTTTCATATTTATATTGTGTTGAAAAACTCAATTCAGTAACTTTGGATTATTTTGAAATAAACTGAAAGACGAATTCTCTTTCTTTTAATTAATTTGGTATTATTCGTGAATTAACAAGAGTATTGACGACTTTTAATCTGATATTATTGTGATAATCCCAAGATTGAAACTTCTTTCTATTGTTTAATCTTGTTTCCCATTCAAGCTGTCCCGCATTAGAAGTATTGATATGATTACGTAACAGTCATTACAATCAAATTTTGAATGAGAGGTTGCAATGGTAGGAATGACAAGAGCCAAAACAAAGGAGTGGTAGCAGATGAAGGAGAGAGTGCAGGACAGGTGAAATCAATGTCACAATCCTAACAAGTGTCGTTTTATATGTCATAGAGAAAAAAAAAAACATAGACAGATACGTTTAAGTTGGGAAGGTAGAGAGAGAAAAGAGAGATAAAAGCTAAAACAAAGAACAAATGTTGCCACGTGAAGCGGGCCTTTTTGAATTGAGTACGGGAAAGGGACTAATCTTTGTCCTTTACCTGTGGCGGATGTTTGGTTCCCCTGTTCCGTACTCCCTTCCGAGTTGGCTCACCATTAACCGCATCCCATCCCATAGAACCGACTCTTGTTGCCCATGAGTTTTTTAGCTTTATTGGTGCAGTCGATAGTAGAGTGATTTGATCTCTTATATGGTCTAAGAACTCTTATTATTAACTTACGTGGAATTTGTTTGATACCTCAATTATTCTCTTTTGAATGAGGCTCATAATGAATGATCATCACTGTTATGTTATTCGGTACAAAGAGCTAATTCACACGATAATTTGGGTCATGATTCTGATACCACTTATTGAGCATGAATTTTCAATCCAAAAGTGGATTGACTAGCTCGCTTATATGGCCTAATACCCCCTCAACATCATTCGACGTGGGACTTGTTTGACAATTCAACGCTCTAGCTAACCAATTGAGCATAATGTAATTGGTTATTCTAGATTCTCTCAAGATTTTATAGACATAAATGTTAGTTGGATTTAACCTATTGACCTAATTTGGTGCAATCGTCAGAACAACAAGTTTCAATATTAAGATGACGTTTAATATTGAAACTATAAGGACTTTGAAATTAGTCCCTAGTGCCTTGTAGGCCTTAGTGTCCTCCTATTGGTCTGCAACCTTTAAACTCGATTTGTTGAGAATTCTTACATTTTTTTTTGTTTAACATTTAAGAATGTCCAAGTCAGTTTATACGTACCTCGATTAATCCCCTTTCTAGTCTAATCAAAAGTAAATCATTCACCCGAAACTAGGGAATCATGGTCTGTCTTCAAGAGATTGTCAAAATTCGAATTTAGAATGTTTAAATTTATAATTTGTCCTTGTTGTCACTTGAGCTAATTTTGAGAATTCCTACATTTAAAAAGTCATCAACTTGGCTTTCTTTAATTAGAAAAACTCATGCAGCTACAAGGGCTCGATTACTAGTTGCTAGTACCTAGCAACAAATAGGCAGGCCTTACTGTCCTCATACTAAACTTATTTGTAAACTTTAACCTTGTTTTGTTGAGAATTCCTACATTAGACTAATCATCAATTTGGCTTTGGCATCTGACTTAAGTATAGCTACCTCACTTGAGTTGAATCTTCGCCGAGTTAACTATGTTAGAATAAGGACATGGGGGTGAGCTCACAATTACGTCAGAAATTGAACAAAAAAAAACCACACCACATTTTCAAATTTGTGTATGAGGTGATATAATATATCATAGGAAGAATGTTGCAGCATTTAAGGACAAACACAGGACAATGTCGTATGTGTTTCTTGGCATACTATAATCTAATGCCAAGAATAAAACCAAAAGCACTGGCACAAGAATCATTTACAATGAAAGCCCTGTCAATCCTCAATGGATTCTAGTTCCTATTCTTATGATATTATTCAACAGGTGGGGGGCCCATATTTTTATATTTTCTTGGTGGAAGTTTTTTGGAGCATAAATCTCAATTCAATCCACAGTAGATTCCAAAAAATTCAAAAAAGTGAAGCAGATTTTTTTTTCTTTCTTTCTCTCTCTTTTACGACAAATTTGTGCGGTTATGCATCTTTCAAACGCGTGGCTATGATTTGACATAAATTTATGATGCATACAATCATATCCAACTCACGTGCTGTTAAACCCGTGTTTTATGTGGCTTTGAAATTCAAACTCATTTACAAGTTTACGATCATGTATTTGATTATGATATTGTGTTTATAGGCTACCCTTATTTCTTTTGAGGATATATTTAGAGTACATACAGCATGAAGGTTAGGTATAAAATTATAACTCGCACAGAAAACTACCCTCTTCCTTTCTGTTGCCAGCATTTGTGAGATATTGTGATATTTTTTTCTTATTTTAATCTTTTAGGAAACAGTCAAATATCATTGTAGGTGTCAATTTGAGTCCAATCATGTCATATTGATTTGTCCCNTAGGAAACAGTCAAATATCATTGTAGGTGTCAATTTGAGTCCAATCATGTCATATTTAGATCATGTCATATTGATTTGTCTCNTTTGTGAGATATTGTGATATTTTTTTCTTATTTTAATCTTTTAGGAAACAGTCAAATATCATTGTAGGTGTCAATTTGAGTCCAATCATGTCATATTGATTTGTCCCGTGTGCATGTAATCCAATATCGTAAAACTATAGGAATGGAACACGGGTCTACTAATATCAGATGCGGCCTCTTTGACACATTGGATGCCCTACCCTCAATTCGTTTGACTTATTTTTGACCATATCAGATAGTATGAAATGTGGTGATAGTTATTAATGAATTTTCGAAAAGAAGGAGCCAGATAGTGTTACGAGACAGCTTTTATTTGATGGAACCAACTGCACCCATTGGAAGACTAGGATAAAAGCGTGGAAATTATGAAAATTGCTTTTTATTCATTTCTTCCTTCTATCTCTTCTATCTTCACTTACCTCCTAAATACTGGGAAAAAAAAGAGAGTAAAAAGTGGCCTTCCCTTCAATTAAGCATCTGTCTTCCTCCAAACATGGTACAAATTCATACCCATCTCTCTCTTCCTTTCCGTCCCTCCCCAGTTGCCTCTCTCTCCTAACATAGTACAAATTCATACCCATCACTCTCTTCCCTCCCTCCCCCAGTTGCCTCTCTCTCTATCTCTCTCCTCTCAATGTCGTCGTCGTCGTCGTNTCCCTCCGTCCCCCAGTTGCCTCTCTCTCTATCTCTCTCCTCTCAACGTCGTCGTCGTCGTCGTCGTCGGGCACTGGCCGGCAGGTTCTTATAAGACTTCAGCTGGTTTCTGTTGAAGCCAATTTGAGAAACTTTGGAGGGTATTCATGTCGGCTCTGTAATGTTTCTGAGTGAACTCGAGTAGGGTCGGCCATGTGAAGTCTGGATATATTCTAGGGTTCTTGGTGTCCACCAATTCAGATGGTGGGCTCACCACCTTATCCTTCTTTGGGCACAAAAAGAAAGCAAGAGACTTCCTAGGAGTTCTATTGTTTACCACAGCTCTGTGCAGGCAACTTTTGTATCTTCCATTTGCAAGAGCCTGAAAAAACAAACCCCACAAAGTTTAATGAACATTACATCCAAATAAGTAAAAGTATACTAATATTTGGTTGGTTGTGGAGATTTATTTCTCATGAATATGTTAATTACGATTTAAATGGTCTGTTTTTATCCGGATGGGAGAAAAACTTAGTTGTGATGCATGCAAGTTGACTAGAACACTCTTCACCGTTTAAAAAAAAGAAAGTATAATAATATAAATACACCATATTATGTTAATGATACCCTTTTTTATGTGCATATTATCACGTGACTAAGGTTAGAGAAAGAAAGCAAATCCGATGAAGGGTCAAAAGAAGCAATTAAAACACCGAAGAAAAATTGAAACAAAAAAAAAAAGTACAAAACGGTAATTAAGTTATTACCCAAAATAATATTAGGATATATATTTAATATTATTTATCTTACCATGAAAGTGGTAAAAAAATTACAAAAATGGACACTACTTAGAAAAAGTAAGTAAAAAAAGTAAAAATATATTTTGAAAAAAAACATTACGAAATGATACCTAAACTTTTTATTGTCAGTTAATAATAAAAAGTTTGAATATATTTATGATATGATATATACATATATTTTATCATGAAAGAACCTCAAAGAATAGTTCAAGTGTTAATAAAGATAAATTGTAAATTCAGATAATCTAAGTTTAAATTTTTATAACCCCTTAGAGTCGGAGGATTTATCCTACATAAATACCCTAAGTCTGACGTAAATGACTTATCTTTAACCAGATTACAGAAGAAATTAATCAAAATACACATAAACTAAATTAAACATCCTAAATCGTTGAAAAAAAGAAAAAAAACATCTTACCATGAAAGTGTCGCCTATGTTAACAACAAAAGCGTTGAAATTGGGACCAATTGACCTCCATTCATTGTCCACGAACACTTGAAGACCACCAACAGTGTCTTGGTGGAGGATTGTTAACGATGTGGGATCACAATGGGGCCCTGTTCCTAGTGTGAGTTCTGGTTTCTGGCATGGTGGATAGTAGTTGAGCCTCATTATCGAATCATTCTCTTCGAAAAACTCCTTGAAGTGGGCTCTGCTTACACCAAGGCTCATCCCCAATAGCTCCATGATCCCAAGAGAAAGTCTACTCATTGCATTGCAATAGTGCTGGTAAACTCTCCTATATATGCAAACAAAATAAATGTTAGATACCATCAAAAATAGAAAAAAAAACAACCAAAACGTCTCTTTTTTTGTGAAAAACATAACAAATTAATCAATGATTAAATATCACTAGTTTTATGTTTCAAGATGTTTTGATGTCCACCTAAAACTAAGCAAATTGTCCTCTCGAAAAAGAGTTTTACCTTTTCTAAAGGATCTTGTTTTTTTTTTTTGCAAAAAACAGAACAAGTTAGTGATTGAATATCACTACTTTTATGTTTCAAGGTGTTTTGATCGATATATTTTTTTTAATTTAACTATGATTATATGCTAAAACGAAATTTTGATCCGGGTAAGAAAAATGAGTGAAATGGTAATGTTTTTGGTACCCGAATTGTAAGAAATCTTGACCCATTGTGTTACCCAAATACTCTTCAACAATATGGGAAGAGTTCGCATCTGCAGAGTATCTGAAAGAAAGTGTCTCCTTCCACGGGAGCTTCGAGGAGAACCTTCCAGTGAAGCTACTAGCATATCCACAATGCTCACCAGCCTTCCTCTGAGCTTTTTGCTTTTCACAAAGTGGCAGGTCAAAGAACGAGTCTATATACCGATGAGCATCGGAAATGAGACCGGCGTCGACACCATGATTGACTACCAGAAAGAAACCGTGCTTTCGACAAGCCTCGCCGACGAGGCTCGAGGCTTCAGTGGCCGCCACAGGGTCTCCGGAGAGGAATCCTACTAAGTCGACGAGAGGTACCGGAAGTTCTGGTGCTGTGGCGCTAGGCTTCTCGTGGTCTGGCCATATGAACTGGGTTGGTATGTTGGGTTCATGACGAAGCACAGAGGCATCAAAAATTAGAGGCTTTTGCTCGTCTTTGTGGTCATTTTTGTGCTGGTGAGACATTGAAATTTTGTTTGTGAAACCACTGTCAATACCCATTGCATGAACCTAAAAGGTGAAAGAGTCGACTGAGAAGAAGAAGAAGAGGAGTAGGAGAGGGAGAGACAGAGAGAGGAGTAAGTTTGAGGGGTGTGATGAAAGAAAAGCCAAAGCCGTTCATTGGGGAAATCGGTGAACGAAAATTGGAATCTTATAGGTGTCTTCTCTTGTGCCTCTAACACATAGATGTGCATAAAATATTATTTGCAATGAAGGACTTTTATTACAAAATCGGGGCCTATATAATGAACAAATTAGTTAACGATTCAAACCCAATGGATTAATTGGGTGTCTGAATTGGTTTATGCGCATTTTGACTAATTTTCTATCTGATTTAGGTAATTCACGTCGAGATTAAAATATTTATGATAGATAAATTTCTCATGACATAGTCATAAGAGGTTGCTAAAATTCGAAGTCAGGACATCTAAGTTTACGACTCATCTCTATTACCACTTAAACTTTCTATCTAATATAATTTTTTGTTTTTCCATCAAGGTTTAGGACTGATTGTATATAAAAATATACATGTGGAGTTCAAGCAATGCCCCAAACTTTCCCCATAAACNTTTTTTTTTTTTTTGCAAAAAACAGAACAAGTTAGTGATTGAATATCACTAATTTTATGTTTCAAGGTGTTTTGATCGATATATTTTTTTTAATTTAACTATGATTATATGCTAAAACGAAATTTTGATCCGGGTAAGAAAAATGAGTGAAATGGTAATGTTTTTGGTACCCGAATTGTAAGAAATCTTGACCCATTGTGTTACCCAAATACTCTTCAACAATATGGGAAGAGTTCGCATCTGCAGAGTATCTGAAAGAAAGTGTCTCCTTCCACGGGAGCTTCGAGGAGAACCTTCCAGTGAAGCTACTAGCATATCCACAATGCTCACCAGCCTTCCTCTGAGCTTTTTGCTTTTCACAAAGTGGCAGGTCAAAGAACGAGTCTATATACCGATGAGCATCGGAAATGAGACCGGCGTCAACACCATGATTGACTACCAGAAAGAAACCGTGCTTTCGACAAGCCTCGCCGACGAGGCTCGAGGCTTCAGTGGCCGCCACAGGGTCTCCGGAGAGGAATCCTACTAAGTCGACGAGAGGTACCGGAAGTTCTGGTGCTGTGGCGCTAGGCTTCTCGTGGTCTGGCCATATGAACTGGGTTGGTATGTTGGGTTCATGACGAAGCACAGAGGCATCAAAAATTAGAGGCTTTTGCTCGTCTTTGTGGTCATTTTTGTGCTGGTGAGACATTGAAATTTTGTTTGTGAAACCACTGTCAATACCCATTGCATGAACCTAAAAGGTGAAAGAGTCGACTGAGAAGAAGAAGAAGAGGAGTAGGAGAGGGAGAGACAGAGAGAGGAGTAAGTTTGAGGGGTGTGATGAAAGAAAAGCCAAAGCCGTTCATTGGGGAAATCGGTGAACGAAAATTGGAATCTTATAGGTGTCTTCTCTTGTGCCTCTAACACATAGATGTGCATAAAATATTATTTGCAATGAAGGACTTTTATTACAAAATCGGGGCCTATATAATGAACAAATTAGTTAACGATTCAAACCCAATGGATTAATTGGGTGTCTGAATTGGTTTATGCGCATTTTGACTAATTTTCTATCTGATTTAGTTAATTCACGTCGAGATTAAAATATTTATGATAGATAAATTTCTTATGACATAGTCATAAGAGGTTGCTAAAATTCGAAGTCAGGACATCTAAGTTTACGANACAAATTAGTTAACGATTCAAACCCAATGGATTAATTGGGTGTCTGAATTGGTTTATGCGCATTTTGACTAATTTTCTATCTGATTTAGGTAATTCACGTCGAGATTAAAATATTTATGATAGATAAATTTCTCATGACATAGTCATAAGAGGTTGCTAAAATTCGAAGTCAGGACATCTAAGTTTACAACTCATCTCTATTACCACTTAAACTTTCTATCTAATATAATTTTTTGTTTTTCCATCAAGGTTTAGGACTGATTGTATATAAAAATATACATGTGGAGTTCAAGCAATGCCCCAAACTTTCCCCATAAACTTTTCCCATATTGAATAGTTGATCATTCGTCATGTTTGAATAGGGTACCCGCTTATAAATAGTAGTTTTCAATTGTATTATAATAAATAANACTTAAACTTTCTATCTAATATAATTTTTTGTTTTTCCATCAAGGTTTAGGACTGATTGTATATAAAAATATACATGTGGAGTTCAAGCAATGGCCCAAACTTTCCCCATAAACTTTTCCCATATTGAATAGTTGATCATTCGTCATGTTTGAATAGGGTACCCACTTATAAATAGTAGTTTTCAATTGTATTATAATAAATAATTTATTACTAAATAAAATTGAAGAAAAGTATAATGGGATCTGTTTGGAGTTAGCTAAAATATGTAATTTTTAAGGGTTTTGGAGTAACAAGTCCGTTTAGACCTTATCTTTTTTACTAACTTATATAGCAGTGTTTTGAACTCAAAAATACTTATTTAGGCAGATTCAAAAAATTAATTTATAAGTTTTTCTTTCGATTTTTTGGAGTTTTGTCGCGAATCTCACATACTNTGGGATCTGTTTGGAGTTAGCTAAAATATGTAATTTTTAAGGGTTTTGGAGTAACAAGTCCGTTTAGACCTTATCTTTTCTACTAACTTATATAGCAGTGTTTTGAACTCAAAAGTACTTATTTAGGCAGATTCAAAAAGTTAATTTATAAGTTTTTCTTTCGATTTTTTGGAGTTTTGTCGCGAATCTCACATATTTTTTAATTTATTATATTTACAAAATATTATTAGTGACATAAAAAAATTAAAATTCATAGTTTGAAAACTATTATATATAATCTATACATACATATAATTATTTTTTTTATTTTGACACAAAAAAGACAAATAAAACAAGAAAATCAATTTAAACAGACTTTTCAAACTTTTTACGGAACACCTCAAACGGCTTTAGAAAACATTTTTAACCTTGATTTTTTTACAAAAATTTTCAAATCACAATTTTTACAGTAAAAAAAAAAAAATCAACTCCGAATAGACTAAATATAAACTCACCTCAATCTTACTTTTTTGTGTATATGACACACAAGGGTGTGCAGAAAAGACTATATTTGCACGGAAGGACATATGAAGGACTTAATTACAAGACAACGGGTNAAAAATCAACTCCGAATAGACTAAATATAAACTCACCTCAATCTTACTTTTTTGTGCATATGACACACAAGGGTGTGCAGAAAAGACTATATTTGCAGGGAAGGACATATGAAGGACTTAATTACAAGACAACGGGTTATAGAATGGATGAATTAGGAAACTTTCCAAGCTATGTTGTCTTTTCCATTGTTGCCAAGGAAAGCGTTTCCCAAGGGGGGAGTTTGGCGTTTCCTGCCGTAGAGATTTATCTAATCTCACCCTGCTCTCTGTCTACACGGGTTGGGTTCTCTTAGATTTTACTCTGACAGTTTTTCCATTTCGATTTTTTTCCTCTCAAAGTTTAGACAATAATATCACTTTCATGTTAATGAGGTTTCGGTACTTATTACGAGTGTTAAAAAATGATACGATTGGTTAATACGATAAGAAATTAGAGAATTTGAATTGTCATCAAATCACCTGTTTCATAAATGTGAGGACCCAGCACAATACGATTAATAAACAATTTTGACATGAAAAAAGTCGATTAAAAAAAATATATAATACGATTCGTTTATATATTAGTTATATATATAATTCATATATGACACGACTTATTAGACACGAATTAATAAATAAATCGAGTGAATGAAATATTTTTCAACACAAACTTGCAAACACCTGACACGATAAATTGGTCTAATACCTNAAGTTTAGACAATAATATCACTTTCATGTTAATGAGGTTTCGGTACTTATTACGAGCGTTAAAAAATGATATGATTGGTTAATACGATAAGAAATTAGAGAATTTGAATTGTCATCAAATCACCTGTTTCGTAAATGTGAGGACCCAGCACAATACGATTAATAAACAATTTTGACATGAAAAAAGTCGATTAAAAGAAATATATAATACGATTCGTTTATATATTAGTTATATATATAATTCATATATGACACGACTCATTAGACACGAATTAATAAATAAATCGAGTGAATTAAATATTTTTCAACACAAACTTGCAAACACCTGACACGATAAATTGGTCTAATACTTATCCTAACTCCTAACTCACTTATTATATAAATTAATTACAACCCGATTAGAGTCAAATCACTGCAAAAGTAAGTTAAAATGAGCAAGACATGATTTTATCTTATTGAATCGTAACTTTTAGTAATTGAGTCGTGATTTTTGATATCATAATCATTCTCTAAAAACATTTTTGATTATGTAATGCATTACTTTTAGCAAAAGCTGAACACTTCCACCATCAGTTTGGGGGGGGGGGGGGGGGGGGGGGGGGG